AGTAATATTGTTCGCCCAACACCAGACCAAGAGCTGAGAGCCCGGCTCATCAGTTGGAACTATGTTCCTACCTAAATAGTTGTCTTGTGGAGTAACGCCCAAGCGGAACGCAAGATAATGAAATATGGATCTTGGCCCACTAGAGGTTTCGCCGGAAATCTCCGAATCAATATCGAGGGTTATTGATTTGTTAAAAATAGTGGGAGATAATTAATTAAAGGCCTAATTAATTATTAAACATGATAGATAACCTAGTTTGCAAAATTTTCTGTAGATGGCAAACAACAACAACCCTTTCAACCTGCGTTACATCCTGGAAAACAACAAGTTATCCGGGACCAACTTTCTTGACTGAGAGATGAACCTCCGGATCGTTCTTGACTGTGAGAGGAAACTCTACATCCTCGAAACGGATCCTCCCAAGACCCCTGATGCTGATGCTTGTGTGTTCGAACTCACTTCCTACAAGAAGTATGAGGACGACGCGCGAGATGTAAAGTGTATCATTATGGCCAGTATGACCGCGGAGCTCCAAAGGCTCCACGCGGACATGGAAGTGCGTCCTATGATACAATGCTTAAGAGACCTTTACCAGGGTCAGCCCAAAAACTCAGGAGTTTACGTTATCGAAGTCAATATGTCTGATATCACCTCTTGGGTGATGGATACTGGATGTGGTTCTCACATCTGTACTTCTATGCAGAACTTGCATGAATGTAGACAATTGACGGAGGGAGAGATACAACTAAAAGTCGGCAATGGCGCACTCGTCTATGCATTGGCCGTCGGAACCTATAGTTTATCTGTACCTAGTGGTCTTATATTGCATTTGAATAATTGTCTGTTTGTACCTAGTATGAGCAAAAACATCATTTCTGTATCCTGCCTTGACAAAGCAGGATTTTCGTTCGTTGTAAAAGACAAAACTCTTTCTGTCTTTAGAAATGATATATTTTATGCAAGTGCAAAAATGACCAACGGTCTCTATGTCCTTGACATGGATACCGCAATATATAACGTAGATGTTAAGAGAAACAAACCTAACAGTTTGAATCTCGCGTACCTTTGGCATTGTCGTTTGGGCCACATTAACGAGAAACGCATATCTAAGTTACATCGTTTTGGTGTACTTGATTCATTTGACTTCCAGTCATATGATGTATGTAAATCTTGTTTACTTGGTAAAATGACAAAGGCTCCATTCACCGGTCACGGTGAAAGGGCGAGTGACTTATTGGGCCTCATACACTCCGATGTCTGTGGTCCAATTAGCACTGTAGCTAGAGGTGGTTATTCTTACTTCGTTACATCTACTGATGACCTTAGTAGATTTGGATATGTGTATCTCATGAAACACAAATCGGAATGCTTTGACAAATTCAAAGAATTCAAGAACGAAGTAGAAAAGCAATTAGGCAAAAGTATTAAGACCCTCCACTCGGATAGAGGAGGTGAATACTTAAGCTTGGAGTTCGATGACTATCTGAAAGAGCATGGGATTTTATCCCAACTCACTCCTCCGGGGACACCTCAGTTAAATGGAGTGTCTGAGAGGAGAAATCAGACTTTGCTAGACATGGTCCGGAGCATGATTAGTCTGACAACATTGCCAGAATCATTTTGGGGATATGCATTGAAAACAGCAGCACACACACTCAACAGAGTTCCATCTAAAGCTGTCGAGAGCACACCATACGAACTATGGCGTGGGAGAAAACCGAGTTTCTCGTACTTTAAAATTTGGGGCTGTGAAGCTTATGCAAAACGTCTCATGACGTCTAGTAAGTTGGAGCCTAAATCTGATAAAGTAATTTTTGTGGGATACCCCAAGGAAACTAGAGGGTATGAGTTCTATCATCCATCCGATAACAAAATTTTCGTTGCTCGGAATGGAACCTTCCTTGAGAAGGAGTTTCTTTCTGCTATCACTAGTGGGAGAAAGGTAGACCTCGAAGAAATTCGAGAACCACAAGAAGAAGTCCCGATAGTGTTGGAAC